TTCAATATTTACCGTTTCAAGCATAGCAGATTGTAATTCTGTTTGGTTTTCGTTATTGATGACAGATGTAACCTCTCCTTCAGTATTTTCAAGTGAAGGCATACCCATGCTCACTTCTTCAATAGGTTCGAATAAATTTGGGGGTGGGGCTATAGCCATAGGCTCTTCACCTATAGATTCTGTGTTTTGTTCTTCCCGCTCTTTATCCATTGTTTCATCATCTTCGCTACTACTATCAGGAACAACATCTTGTTGTAGTGTTTCGATAGGTGTATTTTGTTTTCTATTTCTACGTCGATACGGTCGTTGTCTTTCTAATGTTTGGGTTGTGTCTGTATGTTGTAACGGCGCCATAACTACGGTTGGGATTGTGTCTGTAAATGTTTCATGTTGTAAAGATATGGAGTCCTCACATGTCACATCTATGGCAGTCATTTCATGTAAATTACTTTTTTGTAATCTAGTTTTTAGCCTGTTATTAGTATCGATAACATCCTCAATCCAATTTTTATTAAATTCGTCAAACATATGTACATTAAAGTCTTTGGGAATGTCACCAAAATCTTCAAATACATTTTGGAAAAATGTATTTTCATATAATTGATCCCGAAAAAATATTAATGCTTGATAGAACCTTGAATCGTGCTGAAGCAAATAGCTAACACCCACACATCGTAAAAATATACGTTCAAGTGTTCGTATCCGCTTATTATGAATAAGTTTGCACCGAATTTTGTATAAAGCCCGCCGCACACATGAGCTATTGGCAGAGCTAACAGCCACGCGTGAAATTTGCTCACATTACGTGTTTGCCACAAACAGCCGCGACATTCGCTCAGCCGATACTTTTCGCGGGAAATTCAAACATGGCGGCTCATTTAAATCTTCATCGAGTGGCAGTCCTTTTAATATTTCTACGGCGACGCCGTCGCCGCAAGACTAAGGCCGTGGTGTTTACGCAAATCTCCTCCAAGAACTGAAGGGCGAAGATCCCGAATCTTTTCGGCAATATCACCGATTAGATATCAACTCATTTAACTTTATTTTGAACATGGTTAGACCATTAATTCAGAAAAAGGAGACATGGATGAGAGCAACCATTAGTCCACATGAGCGGCTCGCAGTTACTTTACGCTATTTGGCAACCGGTGAGTTTTGGCACGAAGTGAACAAGTATGTGAATTAAAAAAACAGAAAGTTTATTCATCATTTATTTTTTTGAAGGAGAATCGTTCAGAAGTCTCTCTTTCCAGTATCGTATGGGAGAACGAACGATATCTAATATTGTACTTGAAACATGCCAGGCATTGTACAAATCAATGAAACAAAAATTTCTTACAGTAAGTATAGAAGCTAATCAAAACAAAAGAAAGTCAACCAGGCTCAGCTAAAATAGCTATATGAAAAGTCACAGTTCCAATAAAATGTAACAACTCAGACTCCTTTATCAAACTCCATGATTGTTTCCAAAGTGGATATAATGTGGTGCAGAATACTGCAGTGCATCTATCTTGCTGTGGTGTATTTGAATTGTTTTGAACTGGATTTAACATGCCTATTTGTGCTTGAAATAACACATTACTGATTTGATACTGAGCATAATGTCTAGATTGTTGATCCATTTTTTTTCAGTGACTCCACTAAAAATTTTCCAAATGATTCACATTCCCCTGGCTCTTTATCCTCTTGTGCTTTTTTGCTATCATTAACAATTGCAGAAGTCAGGCTTCTCATAACACTTAATTCTTCTTCCTCCAACTTTCTCTTCAATGACTTTCCCCTTGGCTTTGTTGGTAGTTTGGTTGACTTGATAACCTGTTGGTTATTGTCAGTAAGATCTAGCGTGTTTAAATCTTCATCAGAATCTATGGCATGTTGAAGCATGGAACCATTCTCATTATCACTGTTATCACGTGCCACCAAAGAGTTTGTCTGTAAAAAAGGAAAATGATCACTATAAGTATTATAACTATAGCCTGGAGAATATTTCATACTCAACACAACCTAATTAGATTGTAAATTTTGAAGAGAAATATCAATTTTTTATTTATGTTTAGATACCGTTGACAGATAATGACTGGCGTAAAGTTGCTGATGGTTTTCACAAACAATGGAACTATCCATGCTGTGTGGGAGCAATAGATGGAAAGCATATAGCCATACAACAACCACCACACAGTGGCTCTGAGTATTTTAATTACAAACACTATTTTAGTGTCTTGCTTCTTGCCCTTGTGGATGCAAACTATAAATTCTTATTTGTGGATGTTGGGGCTACAGGGCGAGCTGGGGATGCCGGTGTGTTTAAAAATTCATTATTAAAGCTTTAGATGATAATTGCCTTCAACTACCACAAGCACAAGCAATTGAAGGAATCCAAACAAAGATCTGTTATCATATCATTGGTGATGATGCATTCCCATTGAGAACAGATATCATGAAACCTTATCCTCATCGATATCTGGATAAACCAAAACAAATTTTTAACTACAGACTCTCACGAGCAAGACGTGTAGTTGAAAATGCCTTTGGCATTTTAGCCAACAGGTTTAGAGTATTTCTGACAACTATCAAACTTGACCCAGAAAAAGTTGTTGACATTACCTTGCTGCTTGCATAACTTTATGATAGAGAAGAACAAGAATGATTATGTCAATTTTCGGGATCATGAAGACACTGAAAACCAGGTACTTATACAAGGCCAATGGAGAGAGAACTATCAACTATTAGGGTTACAACCCAGTACATCAAGAAATGCAACAAATAGTGCAAAGAAACAACGTATGCATTTGACTGAGTATTTTGTGTCAGATGCAGGTTCTGTACCATGGCAAGAGAACATGTGTTAACTATGACTATTTTGATGATTGACTAAAAACTTACATCATCCATGTTAGACGCTGTTGCTCGGATGGCAACATGCTCTTCAAAGAATTGTAGTTTATCCAAAACCCAAGAAGTTCTCTTAGAAAGGTTCCGCCGTGCAGTTCCCGAAGGAGGTGCCTTTTTTGCCTTCGTATAGCAATTCCTTAAAGTTCGCAGTTTGTTCTTTACCCATTCCACTGTTAAAATTAAACAAAGCAATGTCGAGCATTGAGTGTAGAAGTTTTTCATGTAATATCACATCTCACAATTCACAGCAAAACAAGTCTACAAGAAATTGCATAAAATACCGTTTTTATTGACTGCTTTCGCAATTTCGTCCAGAGCCTTCTGCCTCATCACTCTGTCTTTAAATTCAGATGAACGAACATTATAGAGGCATGGATAATCTGGCCATAATTCTACTAATTTGTCTTCGGAAACAACCTCGTCTATCATTTCATTTGCCTCCATGTTGTAAGTACATACATACATAATTGTAAAATCACGTGAACAAAGTAAGTGATTTTATTGGCTTACATTGGCTATCAGCTAAGCTCTTAACTCACAGCAGCCGCAAACATTGCGTTTCTTGGCACGAATGTTAAAAATTATCAAACATGACAAATTTTTTTCTCTTGGCCACGCGTGTCAAAATACGCTGGAAAAACTATGCGCACACACGAGTAATCAGCTAAGCTAATTTCACGCGTGGCTGTTAGCTCAGCCAATAGCTCATGTGTGCGGCGGGCTTAAGTGCATGTGCGTCATTAAAAAGAAATCAAGCAAAGAAGCATTCCGATTCTTCGCATCGATCATCTTATCATGCATCATAACAAGTTGTATAGTTGGATGTAATGAATCTTTATATGCTTTAGCAACCCCTAATCTCTCACATTGTGCGTAATGATGTTTTTCGTATAATGTTATAGGTATGTTTTCACCTTCAAAATACTCGAAAACACTATTCAACGATATGATGTTGTTTCCTTTACAAACTTTATTGAATGATGTTCAACATTGATATTATCAAATCGAATATGTAGACTTCTACTCATTCTAAAAAATAAACAAATAATCACTAAATTTATAGTTAAAGAAAAATAAATAAATGCTTACCTCATCTATTGGTTATGATTATGTAAATTTTCATTATGCAAATTGTTTTGCATACTATATCCATAATGCCATATTTTCATTATGCAAATTTTTTTTGCATACTATATCCATAATGAGATTTCGCCATTTTTTCAAAATATATCGAACAAGGTTGAAAATATCAATTTTAGTTTACTTTTTACTCAAACTAAACATACAAATACTTATATAGCGTAAAACAATGATGATCGTGGACAATTTCAATAATATCAGGAAAATATATTAAATCGCTTCCCTCTAAAACAAAAAATCAAGCATTTCGTCGACTTTAATATCTTAGTATTGTTTAAATTAAATTATATTTACCTTTACTGTGAATTTACATCAATTTCTGATAACTTTTTTCAATGTACGCTTGCGACACACAACCTTTCACAATAATAAATTTATAAAAATGAATAATTTTATTACGTGGCACTATTCAAATTAGTGCCGCTATATTTTGATGCTGTGTGCAGAACTTTTATCGCTTTTTTGTTGAATTTTTTTCATATTCTTCTTTACCGGTAAGTTGAATGACTATTCAATGTTTATGAAAAGATGTTTAAACTTTTAATATGTTACATGTTTTTTTATTGAGAAATGGCATCAAACGAAGACATGAAAACAAAAGACAGAGAAGGTTCTGCTAATCAAATGCCTGGTGGTGAAACAACAGATGGAGTTCAGGTCGAACGAAGAAGATATGCGAATTTGCTCCTTTGATGTGTCAATACAGAAAGAGGATAATGATTGTAAATATGTCATGTACTTTTGGCATGGTAAACTTCCTATAAAAATACATGAATTTAACGAACATGGGTACTATGTAGAAGCAAATCCTGAAACAAATAAAATTAAGCTCGGAACTGTACAAACAGTTCCAATCAATGCTATGTTCTGTGACAGAGAGAAAGAATTATCGTTTCGTTATGATATATTTATTCGATTTATGGAAAAGTGTCGAGACATGAAGGAAGTTTTCAGCATGATGAAAAAAATTAAAAAAAAAGGGTATGAAACAATCTATGGAATATTTACTGCTACAAGTAAATGAAAAGTGTCATGTAACTCATGTTTATACTTTCTTTGCTAGCTGGAATCCTGAGATTAACAAGAGAAGACATATTTCCAATAAAGTAAATTTCGTTTGCACGTTTTAGCAGTTTCAAACAAGTTAGGCCGTCCATTTTTGTTTAGTCAACATGAAGAAGAATTCTTAGCAAGAGAACAAACAGACCGAATAACATTGAAGTCAAACACAAGAAACAGTTCGTCGATCATGAAGAATGGCAAATATAACAATGATGAGAAGCACAAAATAACCAGGCGCCTTCTCTTATGTGTTTTCTACGTGCTTACGTTCAGATGAATAATCTTTGTTAATTAAAAATACGAAGTGAAGACCGCATATCTGAAAACAACTTCAGAAACTTTCAATACTAACAATATTACGTATCCAAAAAAGTTTAAATAATTCTACGGGTAACAATTAAATTTTGCTAAAAACTAAAACATCACACGTCAACTAACGACGTCATTCTATGATATCAACTCATCATAACTAACTACGTCATAAATACTTAAAACATTACGTCATCTATATAGGTCATATACAATATCAATTAACAAAGTCTTCTACATTAAAGACTAACAAAGGCATCTGCAACATAAACTAACAAAGTCATCTGTAATAAAGTAAATGGTTTGAACCAGGGAGTATCGTTACATGTTTGTAGATGGAGATCGTCCAGGTGAGTATAGTCCTGTGAAGGACTGTTGATGCTGATGTTGACTGACTTTTCAACAACCTTAGCGGTAGTCATTTTTTTAGAAGATGAATTAAAGGCATTGAATGATAAATATGAGGCGGCCATGTCAGAAAAAGCGGCGTTACAACAAGAAGCCGAGATCATGGAGAGACGATTAATTGCTGCTGATAAACTCATCTCCGGCTTGGGCTCTGAGAAAATAAGGTTGAAGTTTAAAATCATTACTTTCGTAAAGAAAATCATCACTTTCGTGACGAAAAATCATCCCTTTCGTGACGAAAAATCATCCCTTTCGTGACGAAACATCATCGCTTTCGTGACGAAAGATCATCGCTTTCGTGACGAAAGATCATCGCTTTCGTGACGAAAGATCATCGCTTTCGTGACGAAAGATCATCGCTTTCGTGACGAAAGATCATCGCTTTCGTGACGAAAGATCATCGCTTTCGTGACGAAAGATCATCGCTTTCGTGACGAAAGATCATCGCTTTCGTGACGAAAGATCATCGCTTTCGTGACGAAAGATCATCGCTTTCGTGACGAAAGATCATCGCTTTCGTGACGAAAGCGATGATCTTTCGTCACAGCGAAATCTTCGTCACAGCGATCTCGTCGCGATGATCTACTATAAGCGATGATCTTACTTTTTAAGACTCAGCCTTACTTTTATAAGGCACACCTAACTTTAGAAGACTCAACCTTACTTTCAGATGATACACCTTTACTTTTAGATGACACGCTATTACTTTTAGAAGACACACCCTTACTTTTAGATGACTCACCCTTACTTTTAGAAGACTCACCCTTACTTTTAGAAGACACACCCTTACCTTTAGAAGACTCACCCTTACTTTTAGAAGACACACCCTTACTGATAGAACACTCACCCTTACTTTTAGAAACTCACCCTTACTTTTAGGAGGCACACCCAAACTATTAGAAGACTCACCCTTACTTTTAGAAGGCACACCCAAACTTTTAGAAGACTCACCCTTACTTTTAGAAGAATCACCCTTACTTTTAGAAGACTCACCCTTACTTTTAGAAGACTCACCCTTACTTTTAGAAGACTCACCCTTACTTTTAGAAGGCACTCCTAAACTTTTAGAAGAGTCACCCTTACTTTTAGATGACTCACCCTTATGTTTAGAAGACTCACTTTACTTTTAGATGACCCCTTATGTTTAGAGACTCACCTTTACTTTTAAAGGGCACACCTAACTTTACAAGACTTGCCCTTACTTTTATAAGGCACACCCTAACTTTTAGAAGACTCAACCTTACTTTCAGATGATACACCTTTACTTTTAGATGACACGCTATTACTTATAGAAGACACACCCTTATCTTTAGATGACTCACCCTTAGTTTTAGAAGACACACCCTTACTTTTAGAAGACTCACCCTTACTTTTAGAAGACGCACTGTTACATTTAGAAGACTCACCTTTACTTTTAGAAGACTCACCTTACTTTTAGAAGACACACCCTTACTGTTAGAAGACTCACCCTTACTTTTAGAAAACTCACCCTTACTTTCGATGACACACCACTACCTTTAGAAGACTCACCTTTACTTTTAGAAGGCACATTCTTACCTTAAGAAGACTCACCCTTACTTTTAGAAGACTCACCCTTACTTTTAGAAGGCACTCACAAACTTTTAGAAGAGTCACCCTTACTTTTAGATGACTCACCCTTATGTTTAGAAGACTCACCTTTACTTTTAAAGGACACACCCTTACTGATAGAAGACTCACCCTTACTTTTAGAAAACTCACCCTTACTTTTCAATTATCAATTAAAGTTGATTAAATAACAAGACAACTTGATTAAATAATCCTACAATCAGCACCATATTTTGTTTCGTGGACGTGATTGGTAGTTGACTTAAATCTAAAATTTGAATTTGTTTCCCAATGAAATTTCTGAAGTTGTAGGTGAGAATCGTACGTCATAGGTTCGAGGTTCATTCAATGCTGTTGCAAAATAAGCATGATTGCTATTTTGAAATTTGATAAATTGTCGTTCGTCACGTGCACCATTCACGTTTTTTATTTGAATGATAGAATAATACAATCGTTTATCCAGAAAAATAATATGATCGTTTGCTACTTGTATTTCCTTATAGTTGTTATCGCTTCTCAAATTTAAAGTATAGGTGTCGGAACCATCTTGTGTTTGCAAATCAAAGGTGACAATACCTTCTAAAAAATGATTGACACGTTCGGGAATAACAAACGTAATGGTAAGCGTCGTATCTGCAACAATGTACTCGTTGTATACATCCGTGTACACTTCGTAATCCATTTTCAAATAAACTCTTAGATGAGGTTGCGGATCTTCGTCGTCGCGACATCTTTCCGGGTCCATGTATCCTATACCAAACGTAGCATGGTCCAAAACTTTGACAAGATGAGGAAATTGTTCACCGCATATAGTTCGCTATTCTCCGCGCAATGCTTCTATCATAGCATCATCTTCTGGAAAAATATGTGTTTCGGGAAAAGAAACCATAGAACATCCTTCTTGTTCCAATCTGTTGAATAATTTCAACATGGGTGCAGCCATTCTATCATAACTATCGTAATCAAATCCTTCGTCATCAAACTCGTCGTCGTCATCCTCGTCCATTTTCGTCAAACGTTCTCTCTCATTAGGTTTTCATCATCATCATCATCATCAGGTAAACCCTCGCGTTTCCTTCGTCGTTTTTCGCGTTCCTTACGACGTTCTTCCATACCTATTTTATATCGTTCTTCCATAGTCGTCTTTTTAGGTTTTTTTGGACCGTCCAACCGAGCTTTTTCCGCCTCTTTATGTTCTTTCTCAATTTTCATTTTAACTTTATTCATTTTTCTAAAACGGAGGTAGTCGTCGACAAAGGAGTCAATCGTCATGTATTCGTTCATGCGAAGAGAATGAATATTGAACAGAGAACAATAGGGATACTTCCAATCTCCTGCATCCTCGTCATACTTGTAATCGATGAGACACTTCAAGTTGACATCCAAATCTCGATCAATCTTCTTAAATCCAGTCAAATCAATGGTTTCACATTTTCCGTAATGAACTTGCAAACATTCTCGGCTAGCGCAAGGTGCAAAACAAATGTCGCATTTTTAGGTCTGTATGCCGCATCTTCTTGACATTTCGTACGCCAACAAAACGGACATTTTTTGGTGTCGCAAGGATGCGTGTTGAACGGCTGTTTAGGGAAAGTTCTCATGCATCTCATGCAATATATTTTAGAAAATGCATAACATAATTTTCTATGTCTGAAATCAATTTTGGCAACATTGTACTGTTTTCGGAATTTTGAAATAAGACGTATAAATTCTATCGTAATCCTCTCCCGCTTCTCCTTTCGTGAGGGAAAAGTCTGACTCTTCTACGACGTCGGCGAACTCGCCATCGCTGTATTTGTCTCCGTCGTTCATCACGTCTTTGCCAAAATTGTCTCGCTGCTTCGGGTATAAGTTGCAACGATGCACGAAACTCTTCCCTATGTTGCGCTTGGGTATCTTGTATTATACCTATTCTTCTGGAATTACGTCTACGCGTACGTTCGCTTTGTCGTTCTGATCTTTTCTTACTCGATTCATGCAAAGATACTCTTATGTTATCAAGAAACAGATCGTGGAAATTTTGTATGGATTGGAAACGTTCACCTTGGTCTTGAACGTCAATTAAATTAAGTAAAATGTTCACAAAATCACTCTCGAGCCAAGATAAAAATCCCGAAAAATGTTCACCTAATGTGGCGTTACTCGTGTCCGGAACACTAAAAAATAACGTAACGTGAACCCTGATAACCGAGTCCGGATAATGTTCTTGTATATAAGAATATAAATATCTATAAATTAGCCTGAAATAAATAGGAAAATCTGTTTCCCTATACTCGTGAGGTTCAAATGTAAAATCTTTCAATATATCTCTCCAGCCTTCTCGCTCGCGAACCGACAAATAGCGAAACAAATTGTTGGCAGCCAGTTCCATTCAATTCCTGAAAAATGAACAACCATACTCGTCAACAACTTTCAAATTAAATACTAAATACGATGTAAGCTATGATTTAAAGAACACACAAAAAAATACAACTGACTTTAAGCTATGAATAAATTTTAATAACCAATGACGTAACGAAACTTTTAATCAGTTATAATATGCACACTAATTTGTATATTATGAAGCAACCATTACATCATTTACATAATTCAATCTGTTTTTCAGTTTTTTTCAAACAATGTTCCAAGTTACGTTTAAAATCGACCAAATATTTACGTTTCATACAATTTTCAGCTTTGTAATCTTCCATGTGACCAAAAAACTCGTTTGTATTATCAAGCACGTTATCAATACACTTTTTTATCTTCTTTCTTACTTCACTAGTTTCTTCATTATTCGAATTTGTTGTATCATCATAATAGCACTCGTCATTTTCCGATCGCACGCAACGTTTTTTTGCTTGAGGAGGTGTTTCAGAAGATGTTTCTTTTTCGCGACGCATCTCTTTTCTAATCTGTCTTATTTCGTTTGCAGCTTGCGTTTGATTTATTGCAGAATGTGTTTTAGAAGGTGATTGAATATTTGAATCTGTATCAGAATTTTCTACATTTGGTGATTCAACTGTTCTCACTTCTCCGTGGTTTGATTGTAAAGAGTCGTCTGTTGCAAGGGGTGCAGATGGTGTAGATTTAGGATATGCAAGGGGTGTAAGAGATGTAGGGTTGAATGATGTAGAGGGTGTAGAGACGTAGTCTGTAGGAGGTGTAGAGACGTCATCTGTAGGGGGTGTAGGGTCGTCTTGCGTTGCTGTTTCGTTGTTGTTGTTGTTGTCATGCGTTTCTTGTCGCTTGGATGATTTTTGCTTTTGATTTTTCTTTCTTACCTTTATTTTTCTTAGGAGCTCTCTGCGGTTCACGTATTGCCTCTATGTTGTCAAGTACATCTGAAAGAGTGTTGTTTGATTGCAAAGGTTGATCTGCTCTCTGACTTTGAGATGTGCTAGCTGCTTGTACATGATCAGAGAGATCAAAAGAAATCATGTGACGTACATCGGTTTGCTGCAGACGGAGTTTTATCCTATTATTTTAATGCATATCATGTTTGCAACTGCATTTTGATACTCGTTGAATCTGTCAAAAGCGGCCAGGTCAAAATCTTGAGGTTTAGGACCAAAATAATGAAGGTAATCAACGAAAAAAGTATTTTCACATATTTGATCTTGAAACACCTTCAAAGCGGATGCTATAGCATTATCCGTAGAAGCAAACAAGTAAGCAGCCGCAGCACATCGCAAAAAATTTTTCATAAGCATCTATCCATTCCATAGCATCAGTGTTGTCTGGATTCAATGAAAATTTTGCTTTAATTTTGTAGACGTACATGTGAATCATGAGAAAGAAATCAAAATTGTTAGAACCCCTTTCTTTTGCTTCTAAAATGTTATCGTGTAACAAGACCAGTTGTATAGTGGGATGAGTTGATTGTAAATATATTTTTTTCAACATGGTTCGTTGACATTGAGTGTAAAATGTATTCTCGGACAGCGTCAAAGGAATTGTCTTGGAGGCAAAATGATCAAAAATAGGATTTAGGGTCATGATAGAACGACCTTGCTTACATACTTTATTAAACGTCGATTGCAAAGTTTTGTAATAACTTTTCATATTTTTAATAGCCTTGGGTAATTTTTCTTGTGTCTTTGATCTTTCTTTTATCATTAAATCTTTGAACAACA